CCGGTTTGCTTCTACTCGGAGCTCACGGGCTGCGGGCAGGGGCCAACCGCAGGCCTCCGGAGCGGACTTCGCCGCACGCCACGCACGGCCCGTTCTCCCGCGAGAGTGCGCGGGTGGCACCGCATCCGGCACCGCGCTGCTGAGCCAACGCCGGCCGAAACCGTCATTTTAAAAAAGTGGGGTCCGGCATCCTGGCTCGTGCTTGTAGTTCCCAGCAGTTTGAAGGCCAATGCGGGGCGGATCACCTGAGGGCAGGCCGTTCGGAGACCAGGCTCGCAACATGGTGACAACACCGTCTCTACAAAAAATACAAAAATTAGCCGGCGGCGTGGGGCGCACACTGCTTGAATCCCAACTATCCCGGAGGGCTGAGTGGGAGAATCCCTTGGAACCCGCGGCCGGCAGAGGTTGCAGTGAGCCGAGATAGCGCCCACTGCACTCCAGCCCTGGGCGATTTAGAGTGGACACTCCGTCTTAAAAAAAAAAAAAAATGTCGATCTAGCCCGGGCGCGGTGGGCTTCCAAGGGGCCTATAATCCCAGCACTTTGGGGAGGCCCGGAGACGCGGCGGATCAACGGGAGTCAGCGAGATCGATGACCATCCTGGGCCCCTAACACGGCTGAAAGACCCCGTCTGCTTTTTACTAAAAAAGAAAAAAAAAAAAAAAAAAGAGAAAAAAAAAAAGAAAAAAAAAAAAAAAAAAAAAAAAAAAAAAAAAAAAAAAAAAAAAAAAAAAAAAAAAAAAAAAAAAAAAAATATACAAAACAAACAACTGTGCCGCGAGCGGTGGGGGCCTGTAGTTTTCCCAGCTACTCGGTGAGGCTGAGGCCGAAGAGAATGCGCATGAACCTGGGAGGCCAGGAGCTTGCAGTGAGGGCTGAGATCCCCCCCCCCCCTGGGGCCACTGCACTCCTAACCTGGGTGGACTCCAGAGCCCTAGGACTCCGTCCAGGGGAAAAAAAAAAAATTATCGATCTAGTTCAAACCTCATTTTGAATCCACCATATTGACTCTGGAAAGTTACATTGCATCTGGGGTTCTGTGGGCTAAAACCTCTGGGTGACAGAGGCAGTGTCTGTTTCAAAAAAAAAAGAAAAAGAAAATAAATCTGCTATATCTTGACCTAGGTGAGGCTATCACATACATTGATATATATTGGAATATGTGTGTGTGTGTCTCAGTGTATATGCCAAGATGCACATTAACAAAGATTCTGGGCCGGGCGCGGTGGCTCAAGCCTGTAATCCCAGCACTTTGGGAGGCCGAGATGGGCGGATCACGAGGTCAGGAGATCGAGACCATCCTGGCTGACACGGTGAAACCCCGTCTCTACTAAAAAATACAAAAAACTAGCCGGGCGAGGTGGCGGGCGCCTGTAGTCCCAGCTACTCCGGAGGCTGAGGCAGGAGAATGGCGTGAACCCGGGAGGCGGAGCTTGCAGTGAGCTGAGATCGGGCCACTGCACTCCAGCCTGGGCGGCAGAGCAAGACTCCGTCTAAAAAAAAAAAAAAAAAAAAACAAAGATTCTGGCTGGGCGCTGTGGTTCATGCCTCTAATCCAAGCTCTTTGAGAGGCTGAGGCAGGCGGATCACGAGGTCAGGAGTTTGAGACCAGCCTGCCCAATATGATGAAAGACCTCTCTACTAAAAATACAAAAATTAGCCAGGCATGGTGGTGTGCTCCTGTGATCCCAGCTACTCAGAGGCCTGAGGCAGAGGAATCGCTTGAACCCAGGAGGCTGGGGTGACAGTGAGATGAGATCAGGCCTCTGTACTCCAACCTGGGTGACAGAGTGAGCCTCTGTCTCAAAAAAAAAAAAAAAAAAAATCCATTAGTAAACATAGAATGATTGAATTATAAAATCACCATTTTGTGGCAGGCCGCCTCGTAGTTCCCCAGCTACATCGAGGAGGCTGAGAGCCCGGAGATGGCGTAGAACCCGGGAGGCGGAGGCTTGCAGTGAGCTGAGATCCGGAAAAAATCACCATTTTGGGCTGGGCACAGCGGCTCACGCCTGTAATCCTGGGATGACACTTTGGGAGACTGAGGCAGGCGGATCACAAGGTGAGGAGATCAAGACCATCCTGGCTTAACACAGTGAAACCCCGTCTCTACTAAAAATACAAAAAATTAGCTGGTCGTGGTGGCAGCGCCTGCAGTCCCAGTTACACGGGAGGCTGAGGCAGGAGAATGGCGTGAACCCGGGAGGCGGAGCTTGCAGTGAGCCGAGATCACACCACTGCACTCCAGCCTGGGGGACAGGGCAAGACTCTGTCTCGAGAAAATAAAAGTTAAAAATAACCATTTTGGCCAGGCACCATGGCTCACGCCTAAAATCCTGAGATGACACTTTGAGAGGCTGAGGAGGGTGGATCACGAAGTCATGAGTTCGAGATCAGCCTGACCAATATGGTGAAACACCGTCTTTACTAAAAATACAAAAATTAGTCAGGTGTGGTGGCTGGCACCTGTAATCCCAGCTACTCAGGAGACTGAGCCAGGAGAATCGCTTGAACCCGGGAGGCAGAGGTTGCAGTGAGCTGAGGTTGTGCCACTGCACTCTAGCCTGGGCGATAGAGCTAGACTCTGTCTTCCCCCTCCCCCCCCCAAAAAAAAGACTTTGGCTTGATACCTCAATGAATCCTATCTTATTTGCTCTCCAGAATCCGTGTAATGGAAAGTGACCCGTGAGAAACTGAACTCTGGAGAAATACGAACATTTCTGAATTCCGAATATTTGTTGGGCAGAGTCTTTAGTACCGTTTTTCCTCCACCAACAAACCTGACTTCACCATGTTTCTTCCCTTTGCCTACAACCAGTTAACATCTCAATAACTTCTCTCCCTGAATAAAGGAATATGATAAGTTAAAATAGGCAGGTGATCTGCCTGCCTTGGTCTCCAAAACTGCTGGGATTACCAGCGTAAGCCACCTCGCCAGCCACCATCCTTTCATTATGGATGTTCTCAAACACACATAAAGAAGAGAGAAAGCATACAATTCACATAACTTTACATACACTACCCACGTTAATCAGTTAGCAACTTCCTGCTGATCTTTCAATTTTTAATCTTGCTAGGAAAGGCAGTCACGTGTGTGCAGTCTTTTGACCTTTGTTTGGCAGCATTAGAATGGGCCTTGGGTGGGCCGGGCGCGGTGGCTCATGCCTGTAATCCCAGCACTTTGGGAGGCCGAGACAGTTAGAACTGATCTTGCCTGCCTCTTCTCGGATTGAGTAAAGTGTTGTTCACCGTCCTCACTGAGCATGTGTCTTTCTCGCCGACACAAGGGACCATCTGGCAAAACTATGCAGTGAGTTGACATTCTGAGACTGGTTAGCGATCTGTATGCGGACCTTGTGCTGCGCTGGTGCCAGTTTAGTTTTGTTTTTTTAGGCAGAGTCTCCACTCTGTTGCCCAGGCTGAAGTGCAGTGGCATGATCCTCGATCCTGCTCACTGCAACATCCGCCTCCGGGTCTCAACCTTCTCTGCCATCAGCCTCCCAGAGCAGCATGGGACAACAGGCACATCAATGCCACGCTGGGCTCACTTTTTTTTTTTTTTTTTTTCCAGATAGAGACAGCGTTTCACCCGTGTTAGCAGGATGGTCTTGATCTCGCTGACCTCGTGATCCTCCTCCTCGGCCCCCTCCAAGTGCGGATTACAGGCACTAGAGCCAACACGGCCTGGCCAATGGCAGGCAATTGTTATGCTTATTTTGTATTTTTTTGGGACCCAGAGTCTGCTCTGTCACCAGGCTGGACTGAGGAGTGCAGTGGCCTAATCACAGCTCACTGCAACTCCTGGCTCCTGGGTTCAACAATTCTCCGGCTCAGCTCTCCGAGTAGACCTGGGATTACAGGCACGGGCCACAACGCCCAGCCTAATTTTTGATGTATTTAAGCAAGAGAGATGGGGTTTCACCATGTTGGCACCAGTGGTAGGTCCTATCCCTCACGCTTGGTGATCCACGACAACATTAGTCCGATCCGGCCTCCCAGACTGTGCTGGGATTACAGGTGTGAGCCACACG